CCGGCAACGGGATTGCAACCCTCGGTGTTGCGCCAGCACCACGCTCAGCCAGTGAGCGAACCGGCCATCCCTATATGGGATCCGAACCTGTGGCCTTGGTGTTATCAGCACTGCACTCTACCGAGTGAGCCACAGGCCGGCCCCATATACTGCCTTATTAAGCTACTCTTTTGTAGATAAAATATTAACCAAAGGTTCATTGTTGGAAGAGAGGCCTTCAGCAATTTCTGGTTAAACATTTTAATAGTCCATTCATGTTGCTTATAACAAAATACCTGAAACTGGGTGATTTATAAGGAAAAACGAAATTTCTTGCTTACGGTTTCTGAGGCTGGGAAGTCCAAAGTCCATCTGGTGGTGGTGACAGTGACCCAGGGGAGCAAGATGGTGGGAGCAGAGAGGGCAGAGACAGCGGCAGAGTCTCTTCTTTTAAAGCCCTCAGAACCACACTCCTCACCACCATTTTTAATCCATTCACTATGGCATGGTCCTATAATCCAATCACCTCGTCAAGTCTCCACCTTTCAATTACCGTAATAGGATTTCCCACCCTCTTAACAGACTAGGGGCCAAGTTTCTAATACATAAAACGTAGGGGACATAATTCAAGCTTCAGTGAGTTTTGGGGGGACATTATTCAATCCACTACAAACATGTTAATTGAACACAGTTTCTTTCTCTCCTTAAACCCCATTAAAATGACAGTAAACTATAAAAGACATAATTTCACACTGACAGAGTCAACAGAAGATGAGGAAAAAGTGACAATGCAGAGAACAGAATAAAATAACAAAAAATATAAGTATTGCCAAGCAATTCTATTTGTAGATATTTATTCCACAGATATACTCACCCCTGTGTGAAATGACATATAAGGTTATTCATTACAACTTTGAATGATCAAAAGATTGCAAATGACCTAAATGTTCATCACTATAGGATTGGTGTAACACGGGAACCTCAAATCTGAGAGGGCACTCATGTAGTGTTTGCCTATTCCAAAGAACTCACCCAGTGGCCCAATGAGTAGAGACATTGGTTTATTGGACTTAATGAGAGTTACTGATGGCAGCCGGTCAGCTGGATATCTGTGCTGCCACAGGGTACACACAACAGTTATATAGTGAACAGATCAATGTAGGAATGTAAATCATTTGCATGCTTGTACACAGATCCTCACCTAGCTCACATAACTCAAAACATGTGGAAGATCTGGCTGAGTAGGTAAGTTAGTCTACTCGCTACTCTCCTGGCACCAGAGTGCTTTAGTGCCCGTGTGCTAATTAATTTACTTAGGGTCCCAGCTTGCTCCAGTCTTCCATTTGTCTTAAGGGAGACGTGCCTTTCCTTGGGTAATTACCTTGGCTGGGGGTAGATTCCCAGGCAGGAGAAAGGGTGTCTGGTATGCACAGGGAGGGGGAATAGGGCTATGTCCAACATTTACCCCACAACTGGTTATATAAATTATGGTACAGTCATACCATGGAATACTCTGAAAAAGTAGAAAAGAATGAATAAACTCTCATAGAACCAAATGTGAGATAAGTTATTAGTGTGTATAGAATGCTACATTGTGTTAAAACAAAAAGGACTAAGGAAGGGATATGTGTATGTTTTCTTGCATATAGATGGAATACCTCTGGAAAGATATCGACATCCTTTCTTTTTTCCTTTTTCCCCCCTTACATTAATTTATACATTTTAAATTAATTGCATATATGCTTCTGTTCCATATCTAATGTTTTCTTCCAGGGGTAAGAAGCTCCAACAGCTGTAACACTCCTGGTTTTAGTCAAGGTGAGTGACTTACCTGATTGGTGACTTTGGGAAAAATAAACTTCATATGCTTGGCTGAGCTCTTCCCTTCTTCCTCTGGGGAGTGAGGGCTCACATAGAGCATTGAAGTTCTCTGCTGCTCCTCTTGGTTCAGGGAGCAGCTGAAGTCAAATTATCAATCAAGTGAAGAATAAAGACATTGTTGGGCATGCAAATTCTCAAAAAATTTACCTCCCATTCATTCTCAGTAAAGTACTGGTAAATTCAAATGTGGGAATGAACCAGGAAAAGGGAAGAGATAGTATACAGGAAACAGAGGATCCATCCTGAGAGGATGGGGGTTCCTGGATGTGGGAGTGAACCCCTAAAATATTTGTTAGCTGTATGGTAGGCTCAGATTGGTGCAAGAGGATGGTGGGCTTTCTTCAAGAAGAAACTGGAGCTGACAATTAGTGTGTAATTGTATGGAGAGATGTCGAAGGTAAAGAGGGTATGGGAATACACTAGTGTTAGGTATGTAGAAAACTAAGCAAGAAACAAAAACAGAGAAACAAAACTCCAGGGAAAGCAGTGTACAAGAGAGGAAAGGTAATCATATTATTCTATGTGACTTAGCCATGAAAAATACTGAAAGAATCATATTGTTTTTGTTTTTTTTTTTTTAAAGATGACCGGTAAGGGGATCTTAACCCTTGACTTGGTGTTGTCAGCACCACGCTCAGCCAGTGAGCGAACCGGTCATCCCTATATGGGATCCGACCCCGGGGCCTTGGTGGTATCAGCACCGCACTCTCCGGAGTGAGCCACAAGCCGGCCCCGAATCATATTGTTTTTGTTTTTTTTTTTTTAAAAAGAACCGGTAGGGGGATTTTAACCCTTGACTTGGTGTTGTCAGCACCACGCTCAGCCAGTGAGCGAACCGGTCATCCCTATATGGGATCCGACCCCGGGGCCTTGGTGGTATCAGCACCGCACTCTCCGGAGTGAGCCACAAGCCGGCCCCGAATCATATTGTTTTAATCAGCAGTTGTGATAAGATTATATTGAGAGAGGAAGAGAACGGCAAGTAGAGGTAGGCAAGGGGAATGTTGGAATGCCAAGTCCTCATCTGTCCTATTTAGCAGCAAAAGGAAAAATTGAAAAAAAAAGTAAAGAATTAGCAATGTATGTGAATTATTTAGAAATATGGAGGTAAATAAATAGAAGAGGAAAAAACAAAACAAAAAGAGAAAAAAGAAAAAATAAATAGAGGAAACAGCTGAAAGAATTCAAAGGGTTACCTCAGGGAGTATGAATGAAAAGAGGGCTGGGGACTGCTGTTTCTCACTAGAGGTCTTGCATTATTTGACTTTTTAGACTATATATATGTATTACTTTGAGAAAAAAACTTAATCTAAAAAGCACTTAAAAAAAAGTAATTCCTGACATTGAGCCAGTCCCTAAATGGGACCTCTGATGGCCAACCCTTACTCTATTCCTATAAACTGATTCCAATTTGAGAAACTCTGCATTACACAACCCACAAAATCCACAAAGGATGAAAACACATGGTTGCTCAGCAGAACATAGCTGTTCCTGGTTCTGAGGTCTCAGAAAATTTACCCCAGGATCCTGCTGAAGGGGACCCCATGTGATGATGTGATTATGATTCCTCACAACCTTCCTACAATAAATACAAGTGAGGATCACCACACTACTTTTTTTTCTGTCCCTGCCACCACCTCTGGATACATTACTTTTTAAAATAGCCTCCTCCGTGAAGAGTGGAAGCGTAGCACTAAAGCACAACTCAGTCAAAGCAAGTGTGTGAAAGACAAAGGTACATAACTCAATCTATGATGGTTGCAACTTCAGCTAGAGGCAGATGTTAGCACAGAGAAACAAACAGGTAAATATCCTTTAGGCACTTTTCCATCAATATTATTTTTTGTAATAAAACTTTTGGTGAAGCTAGTCGACACACACATCAAGTGCTGGTATTCTGTTACATATTCTCTAACAGGTAAAATAGAGAGAATGAAAATCTTTACATGGAAACCTAAGGGCCTTCCTAACTTGACTGTCTTTAGATGTCTGAACACATGGCATTCCACCTCCATCCAGACCTGTGCCATGGGTTTGAGGCCTGTTCCCATTCAGAGTTAATTCCCCACACTTCCAGCCGGCCCTGTGCTCATCAAAACCATGGCAACTGTACTGAAACGGAGCTGAAAGGGTTTGAATGCTCAACTGACCACTACAGGGGGTGGCTGTGGGTTGGTCTAGGATTTGACATTTTTCAGTGTCTTGTCTTAATGTTATCTAATAACCCCCAAAGCACACCACTGCTCTTAACTGTTATATACATAATGCATCTTCCAATGAATTCCCATTTTATGAACTTTATTTTTATGTGGTCATTGTTTTTTTATTTTCAATACATTTTTTACTGCACAAAGCCATGTGGTATTATGAGAACCCAGCATAGACTTTTTTCATTGTGGAATCAATTATATGTGTTTTTAATCAAATTCAAAATGAGAGATATTTGGATCCCCGTACATACAGCTGCAAAGAAACAAAAAGAAAATCAAAAGAAAAACAAAATGAAACAGATATTAGAAAATAAAAGTTGCATCATTTAATGGTAGACATTGGAGATAGACATTCTCTCTGGCCTTTGTAAAGTAGTATTCCAGCTCTGTAATTTTACAACTATTCATACTTCCCATTATCTCTAACTTCAGGCTTTAACACCTTTCTTTCTTTTTTTTTTTTTTTCCTTTTTGTCTTTTTTTACTGACCGGTAACGGGATTGCAACCCTCGGTGTTGCGCCCGCACCGCGCTCAGCCAGTGAGCGGGAACCGGTCTCCACATGGGATCCGAACCCTCAGCGGGAGCGCGGCCGCGCTCCCAAGCGGCGCACTCTCCAGTGCGCCACCGGGCTGGCCCAACACCTTTATTTCTTAATGGGAGAGGATACACACATGAGCAAGCTCAAAGAGCTCTATTTATGAGGTCATTTTAAACAACAGTTGTTTTCAGAAGTTTGGTTATTGAATTCATTATGTACACAAAATTTATCTAGAACTTTTCAATTACAAAAGAAAACACTGAAGAATAATATATTGACTTTTATTATTTATTTCAGTTTTCCAGGGTAATACAATGGCACAGATAGCTGCATCATGTAACTGGACATAGAGAAATTAATTTCTGTGAAAACCAATTAGAAAATATAGCACCTCTGCAAAATTCTCAGGCCATCCAGACCAATTCTCAGAAGCCAATACTTGCAAGTGATATTTTAGAATAGTGTGGTCTTTAAGCTCTTTCACGAAAGACACGTTATTGCATGTCATGACAGAGAGAGCATAACAAGTCCAAAATTTAACGAGGAGGTCACTGTTTATTTCATTTTTGATGGTAGACTCAAGTTTGCTTTTAAGAAAACAAATGAGAATAGGAACAAGTCGCAGATGTTTGGCTTTTTTCTGGCTGACAGGGTTTAAGTAACACCAACATGCTATACTTTGTAGCAGAAGGATCTTTATTTCTGGTGCCATCTCATGATCTTGCAACAAGTAAGCTACTTCTTTCATATACTCAGTTGCAAATTTCCCAGCGGTTGGTCCTCCTGTAAAACAAGCATTTGCATTTCCAGAAGTATTTGGTATATCTAGTAGCTGGGAACATTTGGGAGTGTTCAAATGTGTTCATATTCCTGTTGCCATATGGCGACACTTCGGATACTTTGAATTTTCCTGTCTTTCTTTTTCCCCACCTCCTGTGCTTCTGGAAAGATGAGAAAGTGTGTGTTGATAAGCAAGGACTGTGTGTTGAAAAGCATGGGAAGGTCACTGCCTGCCTAAGGCTCCTCCCTGGTTCCTTTAATCAAGCACCTAGGAGTGAGTATTTCAAGGTGAATAAAACCTGGATGTGTTCACTTAGCAAATCTCCCTCATGGACTCATTCCCTATTATTTGTCTTCAGTACTGGGGAAAAAATGGAAGGAAACAGACCATCAGAGCAAAGAGAAAATCCAAAAGCTGAGCACCAAAGTTAGGATCTGACTGTTAGGAGAAAGGTTTTCACGAGTTGGCCATCGCTATCCTGTTCTCCTAACACATTTCTCGCCCTGACTCTTTTGCAGATCTGGGACCAACGTGACTTTACAAGATTTTTCTTGTTTTGGCTACTGACCCAGGCTGATCCTAGACTCTATTTCCACCATATACCTGAGCCCCAGGTCTTCCCATTTCACTTCTCAAACTCCAACAATGTACTAGCCAAGAAGGCACTGGATGGAGACTATTTAGATGGTAAAGAGTAGCTGACATAGCTGGGCAGATTCTAGCCACTGGAGTTTAGATTCTGCTTGGATTTCTCTTACTTGCGCTACCACAGTCCCAAGGTCTTAAGACTATTTTATTCAACATTAAAGCTTTAGCTGAAGCTTGGGCATGAGCCCACTCCCTTGCTTCCCAACAGGACAGCTAAGGCTAAATAATATTAAACTAAAGAATTCTGACCCTTGTATAATTAGCTAGCTCTTCCCCTACATAGTGAATGCAGCTATAAGGAACTGAGCCTGTCCCACGTGGTGGGTGCCATTTACTTTGGTTTGCATGTGAGTATCTCCTGAGTTTCTTGTCTCTTCTCTAGCTCCATGCCAGCAGTTCCCAACCATTCTTGGCACCAAGGACTCCTTTTGCTGTTTTCTTTCATGGACACCATTCTTTGAAAGACTTAGTCTATCAAAATAATGCATTTTCTCACTTAAAAAAAAAATCAAAGACACATAGTCACCAGCCAGAGCTGCTGCTTAGGAGACGTGTTGCTAAGAACTATCTATAAAATTTCACTACGTATCCTAAAATTTATTAGGAAAAAAAAGGGAAGTGAGTTTGGATTTGACAGTCACTAGAGCAAGGTGTGTTTAAATGGTTTACCACTCTATTTTCTAGCCAAATATGCATTAATTGTTGCCTTTCACAGATGCACCTGTTGGCTTTCCTAGTAGGTGTCTTAAGAGCATTAAGCTCTTACTGATTTTTCTAATATATTTTCTGTGTAATGCATTTTTACAAGATAAAAAGTAAAATATCAGATAGTTTTACTCTGTATTGGAATCATATCACTAGGTTGGAATTACATCATCTCAGTATGGACTCTGATTTTTTTATGTTAATGAGAACTTTGATAGGCATTTCAGAATAAATATTTTTAATAAAAATGGGAAATATTTAATTAGTAATTTTTTTTTTTTTTTTTTAAAGATGACCGGTAAGGGGATCTTAACCCTTGACTTGGTGTTGTCAGCACCACGCTCAGCCAGTGAGCAAACCGGCCATCCCTATATGGGATCCGAACCCGGGGCCTTGGTGTTATCAGCACTGCACTCTCCCGAGTGAGCCACGGGCCGGCCCTAATTAGTAATTTGTTTGATGTACACATGCTTTTAAAACATAAGATCCTTGAGGATAAAATAAAAATATCTGGTGGTGCAAAGACAAAAAACTAATAATTTAATCAAAAGAAATGTTATTGGAATTTTAAGACAAGAGCTAAGAAAAATCACTAAATTACAGTTCTATAACAAGCAAGATTATTGGACATCTAATTTAGCACAACTGGTTAAATCAGTACCTGTGAAGGCTAACAGTCCAATTTTCTGGGCAGCTTGAGCTCTCTCTTCAAGGGGTAGAGATTCATCCTGCAACATCTGGCCAAGTACCATGATTTTTTCTTTGTGAAAAATACTCTCAGCTGAAGGGACTTGTGGTTCCTCCTTCTTCTTAGCAAAATAACTCTTAATACTGGCATTCCAGAAGTCCTGGAGGTGCTGACCCAGCCCCACGAAATACTCATATATCTGAACCCAAATTTGCATACAGAAAGACTGGCTCTTAGCCATTGTGGAAAAAGGTCAGTGGTGCTTCAGGTCCACCACTGGCAGTAACAAGAGTTAACAGTCAAGAACTCTGGAATGCCTCACTTAGCAACACTCTAGAAGGGAATATACAATCCAGGGGAAAGCAATATCCACCTAAGTTCTTCAGCCTGGCATCAAAGGCCTTCTACAATTTGAACTAAACCAAGATTTCTTTCATTTCTCTGATGCACAAAACTTCAACTTAAAGGGGTTCCCCTAACACACACTAAACTCATTCCTGTCTTTACACCTTTGCTTTAGGCAGGCCCTACTTGGAACTTACCCATTCTACTCTATTTTAATATGTACTAGGCTTCTATTCTGCTCATTTGTTACCTAATCAGAGTTCTTCTCTACATCACAGATGTGGAAGAAATCAAGAGAACTTCCATAACTTCCACCCACCTATCTACATCTGTGCCCGTATACTCTGACTTTTCTCCTGTTATGATGGTCGTACAGTAGTTTTCAACCAACTCCTTTCACCTTACTCAGGGATATCGCTCTACATTTCTCCTAGTAATTTTTCCATCTCATCTGGATCCTTTGCATAATCAAAAAACATACTATACTTTTTTTCTCATTAAAAAAATAAAACTCCCTTGACCTCATATACCTCTCCTCCCTGCCCCCACCCCAGCCCCAGCTACTGTACATTTCTTCCTCTGCTCCCCTTTATAGCACAATTCTTCAAAGAGTTGCCACACTCACCATCTCAAGTCTTTTTTCATTCTCTCTTGCATGGACTCCAAATAGGATTTCCACCCCATGACTCCAGTGAAATTGCCCATCAGGGTCACCAATGACTTTTATTCTGCTGAATCTAATTGTCAGTCCTCAGCATTTGGCTCTCCTTTCACCTTGAAACACTTTTTTCACCTAGCTTCTGAGATTTCATAACTTGATTTTTCTCCTACTGGCTGCTCATTCTTTTTGTTGTTGTCATTGGTTTCCCTCTTCTTTATGACTTCTAAATATCGGAGTGTCTCAAGTCTTAGTCCTTGCATCTCTTCTTTTTTTTTCTATCTATACTTCCTAGATGAGATAAATCAGTGTCGTGGCTTTAAATACCATCCATATGCTGAAGACTGCCCGTCTTACATTTTTAACTGGACTTCTCACCTGAACTCCAGACTCATACCCAGTCACCATCTCGATAACTCCATTTGAATGTCAAAGAGACTTCTCAAACTTAACATGCCCAAAACAGAGGTCCTGGTCATCCTCCCTAAACCTTCTGCTTCTCTGTTTCTCTATCTTGAAAGATGGCATTCCATCCTTCCGGACATTCAGGTCAAAAATTTTGGATACGACCTTGGTTTTATCTGTCTCACATCCTATTTCCAACTTATCAACAAATCCTATTGGCTCCACTTCAAAACATATCCCAAATATGAGACATTCTTCAAAATGTACCTGCCTGTACTCTTCATATATATTAATGTGTGAAAATTTTAAAAAATTTAAAAAGTGGGGTTACTCTTCTATATTAAGAGCCTGAAGAGACATGACAACAATATTAAGTGTGCAGTGCCTGGTTGAATCTTCTATACATACACGTATTGGTGAGTGTGCATGTGTATGTGTGTGTGCTATAAAAGATATTATTGGTACAATCGGGGAGACAATAGACCTTCATTGTCTAATACGGTAGCCACTAGCCACATGTGCCTATTGAGCTTATGAAATGTGAATAGTCTGAATTGCTGTAAGTGTAAAATGCACACTGGACTTCAAAGACTTAGTTTAAAAAAATATATATATATATATATCGTTAATAATTTCATATTAATTACATTTCAAAATGATATTTTAGGTATATTAGGATAAATAAAATATATTATTAAAATCAATTTTCCCTGTTCTTTTTACTTTTTAAAAATGTGCTTACTAGAAAATCTAAAACACCAAGCATAGCCCTTTTTAAAGGCATTTATGCTTATTGTTG